CATCTATGGGAGCTGCTTTCCTCCCTGCAAACTGCTTCCTGTCTCAGAGTGCCTCACCAGCCTTTGCCAGAGCTGTTATTTGTGGAACATCCCAGCTGCTTGGCTGAGCACAGACATCAGCCTCTCTGAGGGGCTGTGGAGGGAGTGCCCTGCTGAGAGATGGGGCTACAGAGAGGGCAGGGATGATGGAGCCCAGCTGCCCTGCCTGCCATGGGACACAAGGAGGCCCAGCTGCCCTGCCTGTGCCACTGCCAGCCTCCTCTGAGCTCTCACATGTGTCTTCATGCAGTGTGGCTTGCTGCAGAGGAAGGAGATGTCTCCTTTCCTCTCTTTCTGCATGGGGAAAAGGATTTCTGGCATGTAGGGATCTCCCTTATCTACAGGATGCTGTCAGTGCCTCAGCTTTTTTGCCTTCCTTTTGGCTCCCTGGCTCAGGGAAGTCCTGCCAGCATCTGAAAGGCTTCCTGGGCGTGCACAGCCTCGTGCAGCTGCAGCAAAGAGCAGCCTGCTGAGGATTCCTGGTGGGATGGAGCGGGGATGGAGCCAAGCAGCTCAGCACAGCTCTGCTGCCTCTTGGCTGGGGCAGGCTGAGCTGCTCCCTGCCAGACTGAAGGCCTTTGTCACAGGCAGCTTGTGAGCTTTGGCAGCACTTTGGGCAGGAGAGAAATCACACCGGGCTGCTCTGGCATCCCTCAGCCCTGGCTCCATCCCCTGCCAGCCCCCGCCCCTCTGGGGCTCCCCACCCTGCAGGCTGGGCACAGCTGGGCTGATGTGCCAGAGCCAGGCAGAAGGGACAGCTGCCACCCCTGCTCTCAAACGTGCCCTGGCAGCAGACACTGCCTCCCTCCACTACACAGTTCCAGGGCTCCCCTCTGCCCTCCCTGCACCGTGGGAGCTGCTGTCCTGTCCTGTGCTCGCTGGCCAGGGTGGGAGGGCACTAGGAAAGGTTACTGGTGTACCCTGGCCATGTAAGACAAAGCAGCCCTGTGCCTTCAGAAAGAAAACGCTGGAGGGCATCAGCTGGTGAGAGACAGCTCTGGCCCAGACCCCTCTCTCCCAGCCCCTGGAGAGGGCCTAGGTCCAGGTGAGGAGCTGAGTTTGTACAAACCATCCCACAGACAAAAGCACAGAGTGAATTTGTACATTTGTTGACCCTTAGCTGTGAGGATAGTTTGTTTTTCTGCAGACGTGTGTATCTATTTTATGGTGGGGAGCAGGATGCTACTGACTCCTTTTCTCTCCTGGAACTTTGCTGTCCCTCAGCAGGAATGATGAAGGCTGTGCACAGCTCCTGACCATGGGCAGAGCTGCTGCTGAGTGGATCTGCTCTGCCCAGGGTATTTTCTCCTCTGGAACTAATGTGATTGCTGAGATCCTGCTGGGACTACAGATTCCCACTCCTAGGCCAGGCTAGCTAAATAACCCTCCCCTTTCAAAGGCTGTCAAAGCTGTAGTAATTCTTATTAGGCCGGTTTGAATCATCTCTTGAAAAGGTCTCACATCACCAGTGAGCACCAGACTGTTCTGTATTCAGACCCCAGACACCCAGACTTCTGAGCCAGACCATGACAAGTGCAGGGGGAGGCTCCAAGGAAATATTAAAGATGTTCTGCAGTGCTGTGGGTGAAACTTGACTTGTCCACCCTCTGTCCTGTGTTCATTTCAGAGTGGAACAAGGGACTTTGCGTGGAGCAAGGATGCTCTGTGGTGCTGGTGGATCCCTGGGGAGACACTCTGGATTCCATGCCCTGGGATGTTGGGGAGGGTTGGATGTTTCCTTTGGGAGCTGTCCAAAAGTGACTGGATTGAAAACCTTTGCTTTGAGGGAAGATGGAGTGAGCAGACCTGCAGCCTGCCCTGCAGTGCTGCTGCTGCCGTGACGTGCCATGATGGATGATTCTCACTCCAAGCTGGGCCCTTCAGTGCAGCCTTTGTCCACATTCCCAGCACCAGACCTGCTGGGCCTGTCCCAGGAGAAGCAGTGAGTCCTGAGCCCCCAGGCAGAGGAAATTAACACCTTCCTCTCCAGGCTGCTCTGGCCTTGGGCAAACAGCTGATGTGGGAAGAATCTCTGGCACAGCACTCACTGCTTTTCCTCTTGTCTTGCTGGCACCTACCTAGGACAAAGAGGAAAATTCCCTCCCTCCCCAGAGGGCTGAATCAAAGGATTTCAGCCAATGCACACTGCCAGGAGCTTGTCACAACCAGTGATCCTGACCTGTGTGTGTTCTGGTGCACTGCCCAGCTCCTCCCAGGTGGGTGCTGCTCCATGGAGGGGGTAGAGGTGAGCCTAATCCAGTGCTGGAAGCTGCCCAGGCTCCCCAGCAGAGCTGGTGATAGCTGGAAATCTGTGCCCAGGAGGCAGGGACCTGTGCCTGGGAGGAGACAGGCAGAGGATTTGTTGACACAGCTGCAGGTGGAGGCACAGTTGGTGCATTGCCTCTGGGATTTCTGACTTGCAGGGCTCCAAAACAGAAAGCAGCAGGACTGAGACAGACTTGATGTCCCCAGAGCATCCTCTGGCCCAAAGCACCTCCTGCTGCCTTTCTGGGCCAGCAGCTGGGTGACAGTGGTGACATGAGCAAAGCTGTCTCCGAGCAGGTAGAGGCACCTCTCACAGGGAGATCTGGAGGCCTCAGGCAGCAGGTTTGGGGAGGATGAGCCCTTCCTGCCATTTCCTCGTGCCTGCAGAGGAGCTGCTGCCCTGGGCACGGCATCCATAAGGTTATGCAGGGCCAGCTGAGAGGCACCCCACGCCTGCAGCTCTGTGCTTAATCAAACCAATTAGCAATTTAATCTTGTTAACAAACCAAGATAATTGCAGCATTATCAAATTAGCCAGCTGTATGGAAATGCCTGCTTAATAGCTGATAATAGCTGGTGCTGATGGAGGAGGAGGAGGGCTGGGAGCTGTGACTGATGGCCCCGGGAGCTGCAGTCGGGCTGCTCTGCCCCAGCTACCCCAGCCCGTGCCAGGATGCGGGGGCGCTGGGCTCAGCCTCTCCCAGCCCACAGCTTGTGAGGTACACCTCTTCCTGAGCAGAGGGCTGGCCTGCTTCCAGGGAGAGTTTTCCCCTACAAGGACCTATGCTGAGCAGAAGCAATGTCTGTTTTTGAATCAGAGTTTGGCTGATGAGTTCCCGGTTCCTGTATTGCATATCAATGCTGGATGCCAGGGCCTTCTCAGCCTTCCAGCCCCACATGAGCTGTGATTATTTTCGCCTTTCTGTGGCCAGGCTAAGAGTTGTTTTTTTCACCATAGGACTTCCTCCTCAGACAGGAGGAAGTAATTTCTGAGCCTTGCTTCCTTCTTTGCTCCACGGAGAAGAGGTCAGCTGTCAGGGTTGGCTGTTATTCGTCTCTGCCCCAGCACGGGAAAAGGTGGTTCTGCGCAGGCCGCGCTCTCGAAGAAGGAGTCTGGACTCTTGCTTTTGGTCTTCAGTTGACTTTATTGTTCCTTATCTACAAAGTTTTTCTGTCTGTCAAGCCGAGGTCTGATCAGCAAGACAGCCAAGGGCACTCTCTCCTGCCCACGGGGCGGTTGTCTCTTTTATAGTGAAAACTACATATTAGATATTTACCTTTAATTTCCAATACTTTTTGCCCTTGTTGGCAAGTGCACTTTCTCTATGAACCAATCCACACATGCGAACATCATGGATGCCAGGGAGAAGAAAGAAGAAGGACGGGGCACGCCCAAATCCCTCCATCTTGGGACTCCTGACCCCCATGTACAGGATTCCAAACCCCCCTGTACAAGGTTCAAAACCCCCCTGTGCAGTGCTCCAAAGTTTTTCCCTTCACCCTGTGATTGCTACTACTGTGCTACTTAAAATTTGTGACCTGTAATGCTTCATATAAGGTTGGCAATTTGCTCCATGAATTAAGGTCCAATTTCCAGGTGTCTTTGGCTTCCTGCCAGGGTCTCCGAGCCCCTGCCAGGGATTTGAGACATCCAGAGCATGGAGAGAGATGTCCTGGGTTCCGACAGTCAGCTACATCAACATGTACATAGAAGGACTCTCTCCAGCAGATGCTCTCCCCAGTTTCAGCCAGAAATCTTCCAGTATCTCCAATGGACCATGCAAGGTGTCAATGCCACAGCCAGAGCCTTCACCCGGCTGTGTTTGTGCGTGGTGTAAAATCTGGCCAGCCGGTGCTGTTGCAGATTGCTTGGCCCACGCCTGGCCCTGGGGATCATTGGCCCAGCTCCCCTCAGTTCCCTCGGGGTGTGCAGGCACACAACCTCCTCCCCCAGTCGGGTCTGGGGCATTCTCAGCAAGCCTGGCAGCAGCAGGGCTGGGCAGGGCTGGCAGGGCCCCGTTGGGCATTAGGCTGGGCGATGCTCTGCCCTGCAGTGGGTGCTGGCAGTGCCTGCTTCTGCCACGGCACAGGGGCCAGCAGGACCCTCAGGCTGTGCACGCTCTCTTCTGCTGGTGTTCCTTGGCACTTCCTGAAGTTTTGTACAAAAATAAGAGTAACCCCTTGGAGCTGAGGTTTTGTTGCCCTGGCTTGAGGCTTTCCCAGATCCTTCAGCTGAATTTTCCCCACCAGCTCAGGCTGAGTGAGGGGCTGAGCACCACTTGGGGTTTGGGTGTGTGTAACCCCCTCCTCTGCTCTCCTGATGAGCCCCAAGTAGGGCATTCCCAGGGAGGCTCTGCCTTCGGTGTGTCCCTGGGCAGGCAGGGCCAGTCCCTTCCACAGCCCTGTCCAGCTGGGAGGGCCTGGAGGACACGCTGCTCTCCAGGGCCCCTTGCAGCCTTCCTAAAGCAGCCTGGCACGTTTTCTTCCAGTCCCTTCCCACTGCTCTCTCTCTCTGGAGGCTGTGTGCCTCTGGATGGATTTTGTCCCCCAAGCCAGCCCCTACCCACACTGCAGGGGTGAGGCCAGGCTGCTTTCATCCTCTTGCCCCAGCAGGAATTCTGGGGTGAACGCAGCAGTGGGACTGTGTGCAGGATGGAGAGAGGAGGTGAGGAAAGGAGTCACACATCACAAACACCCTTGGGAAAAGCCTCTTTTATTTGTTAAAAGAGCAGCGGGGGAGCCGAGGGAGAAGGGAAGGGGATGGCACAGAGCAGAGTGCAGCCGCTGCCACAGAGTGATCCTCCTGGAGCTGAGCTGGCATGGCAGTGCTGAGATGACCCTCAGCCTATCCTGGAAGCCTGGAGCTCACACTGGGAAAGGGAGAGAAAGAAACAGGTTGTGTGTGGTGTTCGGGCCAGCGCAGTTTGTGCCCAGTGAGCCCCGAGCCCGGCGGGGCTCTGGCAGCGGGCCCGGCCCGGAGCACCAGCCGCGCTCTGCCGCCGTGAGCAGCGGGCTGAGCTCCTACCGTAGGAGACGGGGATGGCGGGCGGCCTGGACAGGCATTTCCTCCCGCAGAAGGAGCGGCAGCACTTCTTGCCGCGGGGGCAGTGCCGGTCCACGAAGCACTGGTTCGGAGGGTTGTGCAGAGCGCAGGTGAAGCGCACGGGCGGGCAGGACCAGGCGCTGCCTGCGGGAGAGGGGCTGGCTGGCTCCAGGCAGCGAGGGCATGGGCAGGACAAACAGCCCTCTTGCCTTCCCTTCCCCTTCCCTTCCCTTCCCTCCCTTTCCCCCATTATTCATGTAAAGTTGTCTCCTTCGCAGCCCCTGAGCTTTTCCTCCCCGGGCATCTCCTACCTGTGGGCAGCTCTGCCCAGAGGACGAGCATCCCCACCAGGAGCAGGGCGGCCACTGCCTTCATGCTGCCGTGTCCCAAGGAGTGAGAGTGTGAGGGGTGGGGGACACCCACATTTAAACCCTTGGGGAGGACGGGGTGGGGAGCGGGGCTGGGCAGTGTTTGTGCCTCTTTCCTCTGCCTGTTGCGTTGTGTTTCCAGAAAAGCCTTTTGCGCAAGGTTCCGATGTGATTGTTTGGTTGCTCAAAAAGCAGCTTTTGCGTTGCACAACTGATCCCTGCAGCCACACCTGGGGCTGAGGGACAAGCCAAATGGATTATGCCAGGGCATTTTCCACCCTGGCAGGCTGTGGAGCTTCTTTCTCCTGGCAGGTATCTTCTCCAGGTATCCTTTTTCAGGAGAAACCCTTGTGGTGCCTGTGTTCTCCTCTGCAGGTCTGTTAAATGGGTTTCCCTCTGTACTTTGCTTGCACATGATCCTGCAAACCATACCCAACAGCATGATCCAAATCAGCAAGAGGCTGCCTGTGCCTTCCCAGGAACGATCCTTCTTCAAGTTTTTTTTGGTTTTTTTTTTGGTTTTTTTTTTCCCCAGAGGTACCTTGCCCCAGCCACAAATCCTCCTTACTCCTGCCTCACTGGGAGTTGGTGTAGGGAAAACAGCTTTGGCTTAGCCCAAGGTGTCTTTCTCAAGCTCTGTGGGGGCCCACCTGAGCCCCAGTATCTTCTCTGGTGGCTTCTGCCATGTAGGAAGCAGGCTGGTGCTGGAAGAAAGCGGCTGATCCCTCTGGGAAGGATAACCCACTGCTCACAGACCTGTCATCAGCCGTGATGCAGCACAAGGACAGCTTGACTGAGCCCAGCTCTTGATGGCTGTAGGGATGAGGGGCGGTATTCCTTGTTTGGGTGGCAAAGGTCCCACCACCCATTCCTCCCTCCTAAGGAAATTGTAACCCTGGCCTGGCCTCCAGGTAAATCTGTTTTCTTTAGGTGCCCTTGGGCAATGGGAAGTTACTCCACTTCCCACCAATTGGTCAATGTTCCACTCAGCTTGTGTAAGGGGTTCCTGAAAAATTTCTGTGGGACTTCTGTGGCTGGCAGGAGCCCAAGCTGTTCTGGAAACATGCTCTGGGAATGCCTGGGTAGGGAAAGGCTCCCAGAGCCAACCTCCCCAGTCCTGCCAAGAGCAACCCCTGATCTCACAACCAGGCAGGAGCAAAGAGCAGGAAAAGCCCAGTATCACCTCTACTGCTCTGTACAAAAGCCCAGTGTCACCTCTACTGCTCTGTGCAGCCCCTGAGCCCTCCAGAACTGCACTGATCCAGCCCCTGGAGCTGCCACTTTCCATCCAGGGCATGGTGGGTGTCTCACTGTGCCCTTTCCTGCTCAGACTTCCATTCTCAAGTCATAACAGGCCCTGTTAACTTGGCCCCAACTAACCTGGTATCTGTTAATTATTGTCCCATTTCCCTGTTGACTCTGTGGTTGCATTTACCTCTTTGTGAAGTCATTTATTAAATAACGTGCAGATGATATAGCCAAATCAGAAAGATTTTCTGGCCTGTGCACCAGCAATGTAGCACTTCTAATGAGGAATACAAGCACTGGAATAATTTCTAAGCAATCCATTGCCATTCAGATGCTGCTGGGGCTGGAGAGGGCATTGCTGTGCTCCCAGCTGGTGCCAAAATCTGGCTAAGGTGGTGTTTGGCCCTATGCCTCCAAGGGAGGAGAAAATATCAAGGACCAAGGCGTGGATTAAGCTGCAGAGAAGATGGAAGGGATGAGGGAGGGAAACAAATTCACTTGAAGAACATTCTAGAGTGCTTTATTCACTGCAGGGGGGAAAGTGTGAATTATTTTTGTTACAAACTCACATGAAATAACCAGGACCCAGCGTTTTTGGGCACAGGACTGCCTGCAGTCCTCGTGTTGCATTCTGCTACCTGCGCAGCACCCACTGCCCCAGCACTCCCCAGAGCAGTTCCCATCTCACATGGCTCACGCTCTTCTCCATGAAGTGTCCCTCCTCCCGAAGCTGCAAGGCCCCACTTGTGCAATGCTTGAGGGTGTTGTGGCAGATGCTGCATCCTCCCAGCCAGAGCAAGGCTCTGCAGTCTGTATTCCCTGGGAAGGGATAGGAGGGAGACCAGTAGACCCTCATCCCCCAACCTTACCCAGGGGGATAAGCCCCCCAGGAACAGCTTGTGCCCCACCAGGTGATGCAGACCTGTCAGCCTGATGAACACTCTATACATATCCAGAAGGATGGCATCCCTGCCCGGCATCTCCAGCGGTCCTGGAAGAAAAACAAGTGCCAAGGTCAGTCCAGTCGGGCACAGAGGGCTGTTCCCTGTGCTCCCAGGCTGGCACATGCTGGCACAGCAGGGCTCTGCTGCCAGCACGGAGCCTGGCTGGGGCTGAGGGCAGTGGCACCCAAAGCGTGGCCCAAAGCAAGCACAGGGCAGCCTGGGCTGCTGCTTGTGCCACCAGAACCCAGGGAGCCCTGGCACCGTGTCCCTGAGCAGGGCCACCCAGCCCAGCCCCAGCCTGGCAGCAGGGACCCAGCCTGCCTGTGGGCAGGGCACGGCCAGCACCTGCCTCTGCTGCTGCTGGGCTCCATCCTCATCCCAAGACCACCCCAAGGTCCTCCTCCTCACCTTTCTCATCCAATTCCATGTCTTCAACAGAATCCTCCACTTCCACCTCCATCTCCTCCACCATCTCCTCCTCCACATCCACTTCCATGTCTTCCTCCATCTCCTCCTCCACATCCACCTCCATTTCTTCATCTCCATTCTCTTCAACATCTACAGCCATACTGTCTCCTCTATCAACCTTCACATCGATTTCCATCTCCTCCTCAGTGTCAGTGACAGCCTGCATGGGGAGCAAAACCTCAGAGCAGGGTCGCTGTCCCACACCAAGCCCACAGAGCTCCAGTCCACCCAGGCAGTTTGGGGGTGTCCACCTCCATGGAATGGCACTGTACCTTCATTGGGACAGAAGTGGGCATCCTGCAGGCATGGGTGGCAAGATCCAGGCAGCAGAGACTGTCCAGGACTGACCATTCAGTCCCTGACAGTGTCCAGGACTTGGTGACAGAGATACTCTCAGAGCAGGGTGCAGGCTGGTGCAGATGGGGAGTCAACCAATGGTTGTTTGCTGCAGTCCAGCAGTCTGGTGTCTGCAAAGGTTTGGTTCTGAAAAGCATTTCCTGTTCAGCGCAGTAACACCCACTTTGCTGTGTGCGATGGTGACCACCCTGATTGGTTTGCCCTGGAATGGACCCTAAAGATCATCTTATTCCAACCTGAGCTACCTCCCACCAGGCCAGAGAGAGTCCTCTCCCCCTGGCCACAGATGTTCCCCTGGGTGGAGCATCCACAGCTTCTGGGCACAGCCTGGGTGTGTGCCTCACCATCCTCAGTGAAAAAAACCACCTTCATTTTAACACAAATCACCCTCCTGCAGCTGAAAGCCTTTTCCTGCCTTCTCCTGCCACCACAGACCCTGTTGAACACTCTGTCCCCATCTTTCCTAAGGGACCCTTCAAGCCCTTCATGGCTGCAGGGAGGCCCCTCCATGGCCTCTCTTCTCCAGGCTGAGCATCCCCAGCTCCTCCAGCCTTTCCTCACAGCAGAGGGGCTCCAGCCCTTGCAGCACCCCCACGGCCTCCTCTGCACTCCCTCCAACAGCTCCAGGTCCTTCCCGTGCTCAGGGCCCCAGAGCTGGAGGCAGGGCTGGGTCCTGGGGGGCTGCAGCTCTATGGGGAGCAGAGGGGAATTTTGTGTTATCCCCTGAAAGGAACTAAAGGCACTCTTGTGCTGAGGGATGAAATCAAGAGACTGGAGCCTGCCCCGAGCAGAGTCCTGCTGTCAGGGGGGGCTCTTGGTGAGTCTGCAGGGTGTCCCTCAGCACCCACCCAGAGCAGCTCAGTGGGCACCTTGCCCAGGCTGTGGCTCCATGCCAGCTGCATGGGGAGCAAAACCTCAGAGCAGGGTCCCTGTCCCACACCAAGCCCACAGAACTCCTGCAGTTTGGGGGTGTCCACCTCCGTGGAATGGCACTGTACCTGCATTGGGACAGAAGTGGGCATCCTGCAGGCATGGGTGGCAAGATCCAGGCAGCAGGAAGTCTGTCCAATGACCAGCCTGCCCACATCACTGCTCCCCCTCATCCCAGACCTGCCAAGGAATGACAACTGAACCCCTTGGCTTTGCAGCAGGGGCTTTGCTCAAGTTCCTTTTTGTGTGTTTTTAGGATTTTTGAGTTTTTTAAATACAGCCCCCTGGGGATTTTGCAATACAAGAACAAACACTGATGCTTTACAATAACCTAGCAATAACAAAGTCATGTAGCTACTGTACATCCATCCCGTGCCCCGCCGAGCACTGCAGCCCTCTGCCAGGATCAATTCTTGTTGGCAATCTGCTTTTCCAGGTCCTCAAGTCTGGCTGTCATCTGAGCAAGTGAACGTGCTAAGGAACCTCTCTGAGCCAGACAGTCTGCTGGGCAAAGGCTTTATCCCCTTAACAGAGCCTAAAATTTCCCCTCTCCCATTTACCTATCCCACCTCCCCCGTGTGTGCTCTGTCCTCAGCACCCTGACAAGCCCAGGCGTCACCCCAAAGGATATTTTTCTCGGTCAGGCTCTGCAGGATGGCCACGGTGTTGGTCTGGAACTGCACCAGCGCCTCGCACTCGCACGGGCTGCGGATCTCCGTCTCCCCTTTGCCCTCCTCTGTGACAGGGGGTTTGGCTGCTGTCACACCATGGCCCCACAGTGCCCGCTCTCCCTTGCTCCCAGACAGGTCCCTTGTCCCTGCAGCCACTCACCAGGGCTCTCCCCACCGTTTTCCCCCCTTATTTCAGCCTCTCTGCTCTCTGTCAGGCTGCCCTGCTGATCCAGCAAGCTCTGCCAGGCATCCCACAGAGCTGTCACACCTGTGGTGACAGTGTGCCAAGGACAGCCAGTGCTCAGCTTCACTTTGCCTTCAAGCTGGAGTGGCAAGGGGCACATTGGCCCTGTGTCTGCAGCCCTGTGGAGGTCTCAAGGGCACTGGGGAGCCCCAGCCTGTCCCAGGGCAGGGAGACCCTCACAGTAACCCTGCAGCAGCAGAAGCACAGGTCTGAACAAGGTGCATGGGTCTGAACAAGGTGCACGAGTCTGAACAAGGTGCACGGGTCTGAACAAGGTGCATGGGTCTGAACAAGGTGCACAGGTCTGAACAAGGTGCACGGGTCTGAACAAGGTGCACAGGCCACCTTCAGAGCATCCCACAAGGCAGGGTGCCACTCCCAAATTCTGCCCATGCAATGGCACAGGGGTGTTTGATCACATTAATACTTTTGTATTAACCCCTCCTGCTTTTTAATTAATTCCACCAGCTTCACCTTCTCCTCTTCCAAATCCCTCCCAGAGACCCACATCTACACCCACAAGAGCCTGGAGAGATCCTGTGACAGTCTGGGCTCACACCAGCCCAGCTCAGCCTTGGGGTACTTGACACAGGGTGGCAGACACACAAACCACCCCACTGGCTCTGTGGGGACAGAAGGGCCTTCCCTGGCTTGGGGTCAAGTCCCCTGGTGTGGCCAGCAGCACCCACCTGGGCAGATGTTCAGGGAGAAGTTCTCCACAAGGTGGGTCATGGTGGTGAAGTCCGCAGAATAGGAGAAGTGCTGCTCCACTGGCTCGGAGGCGATGGCTCTCAGCTCTTCTTCCACAGCTTTTCCAACACCCACGGCAAACATGACAATCCCTGCATGGCAAGGACAGATCCTGAGCACTGTGCTGGCCGCCCTGCAGCAAGCTCAGAGGGAGCAAAGGCAAGGAGGAAGGATTTTCTCTGGGCTTCCCAAAGATACAGCAGGAATTTGGGAAGGAAAGGCAGGGGTGTGGCAGCGCTGTGGTGGTGGGGGCTGCTGCATGAAGGATGCTGCTCAGAGCACCCTGTGGCCACAACAGAACACGTCTGCCATGGGATTTTTCAGCTTTTCCCTGAGACAGCCACACCAAAGAACCATCCCAGGATGCCCAAAACACTGCAATTTGGGGCTCCCAACCCCTCCTGCACCTGACTCCTTTGCTCTCCTGGCCCATTCGGAGATATCATCCTGGGAGCGTCCATCTGTGAAGACCAGCCCGATTCTGGGGATGTTGTGGGAGAGAGGCCTGGCACCCTCCAGCTCAGAGAAGCTGTGCTCCACCATGTGCTTGAGGGCCAGGCCTGTCATGGTGCCTTTCTCCATGTACTCCACGTCCATCACCGCCTTCTTGATCTCATCGGCGCTGTGGTACTTGTTGAGGGGGAACTCGGTGCGCACGCGGCTGGAGTACTGCACCAGTCCCACCCGCGTGCCCTGGGGGGACACCTCCAGCAGGTCCACGATGCGGTTCACAAACTGCTTCACCAGCTCGAAGTTCTGCGGCCGCACGCTCTTGGAACCATCGATCACCATCACAAGGTCGACGTGCCCAGCTCCACACTCTGCAGGGACAGGGGAAGGTGACAGAGGAGCAGCCTGGCCATGGCCACTGTCAGAGTGAAGGGCTGGGGCTGAGCTCTGGGGCTCCAGCACACTGTGGGAACACCCTGGAGCTGCAGCTGGGAAGGAGAGCAGACTATGCCCAAGGGACTCAGCCCAAAAACCTCCACTGATATCCCAACACCCCATGAAAGTCTTGCCTAGGTTTCTCTGTTCCCAAAGTTTTCCTTAAAGCCGTTGCATCTTCTGGGCCATGTCTCTGAGCATCCATCCCAACAGCAGCCAGGGCGTTCCCTCAACCACAGCCAGCTCTCCACCCTCTTCCAGCTTAGCTTAGAGTCCCAAGTGGGGACAGAGCCCGCAGCCCAGTTTCAGGTGAGCTCTCGCCAGGAGCACAGAGCCCAGATAAGGAGAATGTCAAGGGCAGTGTCCCAACGTCCCAGTGTCCCAGTACTCACTGCTGCATGTCTTGCCATCAGCCTGGAGCTGCTGGCCCTCAGGGCACACGCAGTGGTAGGAGCCCTCCGTGCTCACACACTTGAACTCACAGCCGTGATCCACCCCGTTGCAGAGGTCAGTGGCTGGAAGACAAGCCGAGGGCATGGGGTTATCCCCATTCAGGGTGCTCTGGGAACAGCCCTTCCCTGGAGGCTGGGCAGGACATAAAGGCACGTGCTATAGACACAGCCTGTGCCATGCAGCACGCCAGGACCTACCCCTGCAGGACTTGCTGTTGGGCTGGAGCGTGAAGCCGCTGCGGCAGCGGCAGTAGTGCCCGTTGGGGATGCTCACACACTCGTGCTGGCAGCTGTGGTTCCCGAAGCTGCAGTAATCAATCACTGCGGAGACAAGGAGAGCGATGGCAGAGGGGAAAAGACAAGAAGAGAGAGAGAACGGGAAGCAAATGAAGAAGGGTCGGGAGGGAGCCAGTCACTTACTGGTGCAGCTCCTCTTGTTGTGGCTGAGCTGGTAACCGGGCCGGCAGCGGCAGGAGTAGGAGCCGCGCACGCTGACGCAGTGGTGCTGGCAGCCGTGCCTCCCGTCCGCACACGCATCGAGGGCTGCGGGGCAACGGGACACCCATCACCCTCCCGAGCCAGCCTCCCCTCACCCCCACTGCTCCCAGCACCATGAAACAAGATAGAAAAGTCCTGGTGCGGTGGTCAGACCAACTAACACGGCTTTGCACTAAAATCCAGGGGAAAACACTGAGCACTTTGGGGTGTGAGCCCTCTGGTACTCACTGCCTGCACCCCCTCAGCTGACAGGCAGCTGGCTGTGCCCACATAAGTCACGGGTGTCCCGTCTCAGAGAGGTAGCCAGGAGTTAGCAATGCTGAATGTCTGCATTACAGACCTGACCGGGAGGCAGTGGGCCCAGTGAACAGAGCACCCAGGCTGCTGCTGGCCTCCCTGAATCCTCTGCTGTGTGCCAGCTTCCCTCCACGGGACCCATAACTACAAGCTCCCTATGAAAGCTCAGAAAATAAAAAGGGTTTTTACGGGAGCAGGTCTTTCCATCCGCATTGAGCCTGTAGCCTGGGTTGCACTCGCAGTAGAAGGAGCCAGGGGTGCTGACGCAGCTGTGCTGGCAGCCGTGCTCCCGCTCCCCGCACATGTCCACCCCTGCAAGACAGAACGGGCATCAGAGCGGCCCACAGGCACACCAGACACATGAACACCCTCCTCTGGCATATGCCCTGTCCCTGCAGCAGAGGCCAGTGTGACAACCCACGCAGCCCCAGCCCTGCCAGCCCCAGTGCTGCCCCACTGATTTCCACACACAGACACTGCGCAGTGCCCTGTCCTGGTGCCTCACTGGGGAGGTTGCTTCCCCCTCCACCCTGCTTCTGCCAGGGACAGCCACCCCAAACACCCCACTGAAGGTCTGGCCCGGGTGAGGAGCAGACACCAGTGCCCCCCTTGCCACTCAGCAGCAGCAGCTCTCACCCACCACAAAGCTTGTCCTGGAACTGCTTGGCAAACTGCTGGATGAGCTCGAAGGACTCCACCAGGAAGACGTGCTCCTCCAGCGGCGGGGAGGCCATGGCCCGCAGCGAGCTCATGTCGGCCCGCTGGATTCCCACGGCGTAGATCTCGATGCCGGCGTTGCGGGCCTGCGTGGCCACCTCGGTGACACGGTCCTGGGGCCGCCCGTCCGTCACCACGACGGCGATGCGGGGGATCCTCTTGTGCAGGGGGCGCGCGCCCTCCTGCGTGGTGAAGGCCACGTTCATGGCGTACTGGATGGCCAGGCCCGTCATGGTGCCCTGGGCCAGCGGCACGATGCTGTTGATGGCCCTCTCCATCTCTGCCCGCGTGAAGAAGGTCTTGAGGGAGAAGATGTTCTGCACCTGGCTGGAGTACTGGATGACGCCCACCCGAGTGGCGTTGGGGCCCACGTCCAGGCTGCCGATGATGTCCATCATGAAGCGCCGCATGGTCTCGAACTCGAAGGGGCGCACGCTGCGCGAGCTGTCGATCACAAACACGATGTCCAGGGGACCTGTCCTGCACTTCAGCGCTGAGGAGAGGGCAAAGGGAAGGCTCAGTCCTGTGGGAGCAGAGAGATCTCTGCCTGCTGGCTGGGGGTTGCTCGTGAGGGATGGAGAGGGCAGGGTTGGGCAGCCCCCACAGACCAGCACCTTTCACTGCCCAGTGAATCCACAGAAGGCAGTGGCAGAGCAGAAGCAGGGCCAACAGGCTGGGGAGACATCCCCTGGCTGTGGGTTGTTGTGGTTTTTTAAGGGCAGAAAATGAGACAGTGAAAAGCAAAGCTAAGGGCATGCACTTGGCAGAGATTGAGCCAAAGAGCTTCTCTTCAGAATAAGGATGCGGCCTCAGTGCAAACTGGGAGAGGATTGAGCAAGTGAAATGCCAGTGAACTTATTTTGCTGGGAGAATTGGGCCCTAATCATAAGGAAATGCTTTCAGTGCCTTTGGGATGATGAAAATCACAGTTGCTCTGAAAGTCTCTGAGACATATCCGCTGCTTTCTCTACTTTGTGCCTTCACTGTTTTTAAACTAAAATTGATTTAGATCTCTCTGTCCTGGGAGGAGAGAGGCTGGAACCTCTGGGTTTGCTTTGTCCCCTGTACCTGGAGAGTCAAGCAAGGAGGAGACTTTCCCTTACAGCTGTGCCTCCTGCCAAGGTCACAGCCACAGCCTGGAGGGTGACAAGCCCTGGGAAGGGCTGTGTCACAGCTGAGGAGGTGCCCAGGGCAAGCAGCACCAGAGCCACCATGCTGGGGCCAGGAAGTTTGTGTCCCACTGCTGGGGGGATCCTCCATCCTCCTGGGGATGCTCCCAAAGAAGAGGCATCATGTCCCCCCACATCACACAGCAAACTGTGCTCCGAGGGCCCCACTGCCCTGTGTCCTCACTTCTCTCCCCTCCATGCACTCCCCACCAGCCAGGGCTCACCTGCAGGTTTTGGTCTGGCTTCCAGTGTTGTCAGGAGAAGCAGGAGGAGAGGGGCAGCCGGCAGGAGCTTCATGATGGCTCTGGGAGAGCACACAGTTCCCGTGCTGGAAGGATGTGCTGCGGGGAGAAGACAAGGTGCGATCAGTGCTGAGGGTGAGCTCAGCCACAGGGCAACATTCTCCTGTGGTGGGGTCCCCAGGCAGTGCCAAAAACCCTGAATAGCAGCAGTTTTGACAGATCCATCCCCAAACTTCTCTGAATGCACATGGAATCTTTCCTGTTCCAAGGACTGGCAGTCTCAGCACAGCTCAATTTCATTACAGTAGCAACACTCTGCCAAAGGGTCTGATTTTCTGCTCTGGGTGGAGCTGGCCATTGGACAAGCCTTATTTTCACTTGCAAACCAGGCAGATGGGATGTTCAGCCAAATGCTTTTTCCCTGACTGTGTGGCTATTCTCTGCAGCCAGTGGAGAGTGGGAAAGCTGCACACAGGGATGCAGAGCACCAGCCCTCCTGATACTCCCCCAGCACAGACAACACCTGCTCAGAAGTCTCTCAAAGTCACTGGCAAAGATCATTTTTCCAAGAAGTTCCATTCTCTGCCTGTTTCCAAACTGCCTGGGACGAGCAGAAGCCTCTGCAGGCAGAGGGTGCAAGGGTGCCTGTGCAGTGGGCTCACACCTCTCCCCCTGGGCAGGTGCTGGGTGAAGCCCTGCCAGCTGCTGCTCTCCTTCACATCACCTCGGGCTCCCCACCACTCTGCACCTCTCCCCGTCCTAAAGGTTTTTTCCAAGGGATACTCTGCACTTCAACAGTATTTTTATGTCTTTAGGGTGGGATCAGTGGGGGAAAAGATATTTAAACTTGTTACCCAAAACCTCAGCTTCTCACTTCTCTCCCTCCCTGCCCACCTCTGTGTTGTCTTGCCTTGCCTTTCCTGGCTCCTGCAGGGATGGGGATTTCTTTAGTTTATTTTTATTGCAGCTCTGGTTGGAAACTCAAGGTGCTAGGGATGGAAATGCCACAGATAATGTGACTCTCCCCAGGACATGTGCACTGCCAGGACCGGGCTCAAATACTGGAAGGGTGCTTTTAAGAAAAAACACACAAAAATTCATTTTATCGGTAGTTATCAGCCAGTATTTATTTAGCCCCAGGAGGTCTCAGCTGTAATTCATCACCAGGGTTGCTGTTTAATTGCTCAGTGGTTACGTGCAGCCCTGAACACCATGTCTTTGATAGCAGGGACACTGATAATAGGTTTCACAGCTGCATCTTAAAACTGTCTCGAGACTCAGTGTTCACACCTGGAAAACTACATTAGAGAATCAGGAGGACGGAAAAGGGGTACTGGAGGATACTGGGATCCAGAACACCCATCTCCAAGTGAGAGACGTGGCCTTTCCCTGGAGGGGGGACCCCACCAGCCCAGGACCAGCCTGGGACACAGTGACTCCACAGCAGTGCCAGGGGCTCCTGCAGAGCCGTGCAGGGCCCGTGGGATCGCTCTGGCCGAGGGGATGAGCAGGGACAGCAGCCTGGCAGGTCTTTTCCAGGGGGCAGAGGTGAGCTTTGCTTCGTGGATTGCTCAGACACCTGTGCCCCTCACCACAAGCAAGCAGAGAGGCAAACAGGGCTCCTCCCCCAGCTTTGTTTCCCCATTTATTTATTAGATTCTTTTTCCAGTGCTGCTTCTTTCCTGGGAGAAAGCACTCACAAACCACTGAATATTTTTGGGACAGCTGTGCCACCTAGAACATTTCTGCAGCTCTCTTCTCCCCACACCTCCCTGCAGTGGCAGGCTGCTGTGGAGCCTGTGTCTCACAGCATCCAGAGAGTTTCAAAGACAGCCCAGAGGGAGGAATGAGCTGCTGGGCCAGAAACCAAGAAGGAGAAAACCAGTTCACGACTGATCTATATTTAACATCATCTCAGCTTTTGGATGAAGTCTTGGCTCTCCCCACAGCTGGAAGGGCTGAGGCTGCCTGGACAGGGCAGGGCATGGCAGCTCAGTCATATTCTGTCCTGGCAGCAGGCTGGGACAGAGTCCTGGTCCCTGATTCAATTCAATGCCCAGCAGCAAAGGGATGGGGAAGCAAAGATGATGGGACAGATGTCCCCCAGTACCTCCCCACCATCCCACACTTGGCAACCTCCCTGTACCCTCACCTCGCTGGGGCTGGCTTGCACCCCTGCAGAGGGACTGCTCCCCCGAGGGGTGCCCAGCACCCCCTCCTGGGCCGTGCAGGGGTGGGAGGGCCGTGGTGGGAAGCGAGCGGCTGGCAGGCAGGTGCTGCAGGGCAAGGCAAACAGCGCCGGCGGCACCGCCGCAGACCTTGAGATAACAGCGAGCTATAAAGGAAAAAGATCCAGGCAAGGGGAGTGCTGCTGCCTGGGCTGGCTCAGCCGAGCCCTGCAGATGAGCTGAGAGGGCACTGGGACCATTCCTGGTGTTTCTGTGGAGAAACAGCTCTTGCTCTTCACTGCTGAAGGAGATGCTCAGTGCGTGGTGCAAGCAGGGTGACCAAGGGGAGAGCCACATGTAAGGACAGAAGGGTCACCTCCTCTTCACTCCACACGGGATCTCAGCCAAGGAGGACATGGAGATGGACCCCCAGAGACAGACAGGTAAGCCAGCACACCTTTCCTGGGCACCTCCCCTGGCAATTGCATCCCTCCCTGCTCCACCACTTGTCCGCCTGCTCTCCCTGCCAAATGCTGAGTCTCAGGAAAAACAGCCGCCTCAGGTTTCAGCGTGGCCTCCTTGGCAGCTCTCTCCTGGCTACAGGTTAACAGAACTACTCCGAATATTCCCCTTCTGGTTCGTGCAGAGGGTGGCAGGTTGGACCTGGGTGCAGCCTGCCTTGGGCAGGGCCACAGGACAGGGCATGGCAGGGGCCGGGTGAGGAATGGTGGCAGCTCCCTGCCCTCCTTGCTGTTACGGGATGGGGGCTCTCTGAGCTGCAGAGGGGATGAAGCAGATGGGAAAGGAGAGGTGGCAGTGCATTCACAGCCCAGGAAAAGCCCTGGCAGCAGTGTCACAAGGAGGAGAGCAGGTTGTGGACAAAGGCTATAGAGCCATGCTGGCTCCAGACCCTGCAAGAAGCCAGAAGGGATCACCATGGAGTGGGGAAGAGCTGGGAGCCTGTGACCAAGCACCAGCCAGGCCAGAGGGCTGTCCCATGCAGCAGGGCTGTGCAAGGAGGAGGCACACATAGCAGGACCAGGAGGAGGCACACACAGCAGGACCAGGCACACATGGGAGAGTGCAGGGCACTGATGCCACACGTGCTAACAGCACCTATTTCTGTGCTGGAAGCCTTGGGCAATGGTAGAGCAGCCCTAGACACGATGTTGGTGAGATTCTCCCTCCTCATCTGCCTCTCCATGCACCCTTCTTTGCTCTGCAGAGCTTTTCTTTGCAGAGACCCAACCAGGCAGTTGTGAGAAATTCAATTCCACCAGTGTTATTTGATGAAAGTGTCAAAAAACCCAATCAAAATATGGCCAGGAGTGCCAGCCCTGAGCCCTTTTGCTTAGGACACCTGAGTTCTGCCAGGACAACAGCAGCAAGACAGCAAGAGCACCCTCAAGCTGGAGGATGGGAGAAAAATTGTGATGTCCCAGCAGGACAGCAAGTCATGATCCTTCTGGCCCATGCCTGAGGGAAAGGCTGCCTAAAAATGCATGTAGGACCAAGGGGGAAGACTGAAGTGTGCCTTGCCCCAGGGGACAATGAAGCAACCAGAGCTACCTGGAGAGGCAGACAACTTACATCATCCTGGAGGCACCTCTCATGCCAAAATCTGTTGTAGAGACATGGATGAATTGCTGGCACATTGTATTTGCAAGACCTGCAAGCAGTGTGAAAGAATGAGGCCTGGGAGAGCCTGGAGCTGGATCCACCCTCCCCTGGAGAGCTGCCCAAAGGTTGGCTTCTCTCAGCATAATCCTCAATCTCAAGGCACTCTCTGGTTGCAGATGCCCAGCTCTCTGTGCTACCTCTGCTGCTCACAAGCACTGAATCCACCCTCAGGACCATTTTATAGGCAGCACTGACCTTACACTCAATCACAGCTCCAAAATCTCAGTGCTCATCCCCCCCCCCCAGCAGCTGGGTGACAAAAGATCAGAGAGGACAGCAATGCAGTTTTTAGAGCAAGGAAGACTCAGGGACCACAAGCACATCAAGACCATGGAAATGGCAAGAATTTCAAGCCCAAAAGGGGTTTTTCCCCCCATTCAAGGACTGATGTGTCCTTGGTTTTTCCCAAACACATGTGGGAGAAGCAGAGCAGACTCTTTTCAGGACATCACAGAGCTCTCTGGTTACAACTCCATGGCAGCTTTACTGGGCCAGGTGCCACCTGGAAGGACACGTTGTTTGAAAAACAAGGCTGTATTTCTCCAACAGCACATCAAGGCTCCAAACCCAACAGGAGCAAATCAGCAGGAGTGCTGTAACAGGAAAGCCTTGCTGGATGCAGATGGAACTTCTCTTTTGCTCTGCTTGCTCCCCACAAAAGCCTTTTCCCCATTTTATGGGCCCCACTCCTGTGTATTCACAGGGAGGGCAGGAGGAAGACATTTCTTGCCCGGGTCCTTTTGCAGTAACAGATGTCTTTGACTCACAGCTCAAGGACTCAAGTCCTGGCAGGTTTTACTGTGCCATGACATTTGAAGTCCCCTTGGGAAGGAAATGCTGGGTGTAGCAATGGACAGAGCATCCTCTCCTAGATGCTCTCCACAACAGCACACGGGTCTTTCTCTGTCTCAGTCTATCTCTAAAAGACCTCCCAGTGCTCTGCCACTCACCTGGCAGGAAAGCCTCTTGCCCAGACACCCCTGCACTGAAACAAGCTGTACCTGGGCTGCTTCAGCAACAGCTGCCACAGATAAAAGCCACATTCACTTGCAAATTAAAATGTTAAAGATCTAGCCAAGAGGAAAACACATCTGCCAAATCTCCTTGTTCCACTAATCATGTCAGAGATGGCTCCTGTTTCAGGACTGCTGGTGCCATTTCTCTGTTCCTCTCTGTCCCATTCAAGACCTTTAGGCTACACTTGTCCCCTGAGCTGCACAGCAGGCAAACTCAGCCCATCTCCTAACTGCTACTTTCAGCAAAACTGGAGTACTCTGATTTTGATGAAGAGTGATCAACAGGGGACAGATCCACTTTACTGACTCTCTTTAAAAAGCAAACTCTATTCTGCAAACAGGTCCTTGGAGGACAGTTGAGCTGGGCCAAGAGACTTCAAATTTTGGAGAGAAGGATGTCCTGGCCATCCAGAAACTGACGCAGCAATCCATTGCCCAAGTTCTTGTTTTGGGAGGAAGGTGTTAGCATTTTTTTCCCCCAGAAATATGCATGTTCAACCGCAAAGGAAAAGTCATGGCCCAGATTAGCTACTGGGCTGGTGCAGAATTTGTCAGCTAAGCTCCTGATGCAGCAGAGCTGGTATGAGATTGATAGTTACTAGCAGGACATCTGTCTCCCAGATCTGCTGGGACCACTATCCCCAGCTGACCTCCAGGAAGTTTACATGGCACAGACAACCACAGAGACCGCCTGCTATTCCAGCCCAGCAATCACAGATCCATTGCCTGACCTCCTTCCCTAAGTCTTTATATCATATTTCTCACACTAGAGATGTGACTCAATGTGTTGGCATAAGAAAACACGCCAGGAGAATATTCTTGTGCCTCTCCCCTTTATCCTACCCATCCTGCTATGTGTTTAATTGAAAAAGCAGAAAGTGAGGAACGTTTGGCGGCTGCAGAAAGGCACGCGGGGACTTTCTGTCCCTCCTCAGAACAGAAATGCAAGCTTTGTATAGATACTTTTCACAGGCAGAACCTCAAAGGTAGCACAGGAAATGTCTCACAGCTAAATTCACAGGTTCCACGTCCCTCTGGCAGCAGGAGATCTGCTCTCCTGGGACCCCTTAGGAGATGCACCAGAAGAGAGTGTCACCAGCAGCACAGTGGCTGTGGCCTCCCTCCTGGCCATGCTGGAGAGCAGCTGACACTTTGGGGAAGCCCTCCAAGTCCAGCTGCAGGTGTACGAGCTGTGCATTCCCAAAGGCAATGTTTTCCATGTGTGGAGCTTGCTAATTTTCCAGCCCAGACAGAGACTCTTGTGCAGGGGATTGGTTATATCTGCTGTCAGCAGACCTGCTCCCACTGGCTCCTGCCATAGACCATGCACTCCTATGGTCCACAGACTACACTCCAAGACTCCTGAACTTACACACTGGCAAAGCACAACACAGCCCAGAGACAGAAAAGCTGAAGTCTGGAGAGAAACCGAGGTACTGCCACCTCTCTGCAAGGGACAGCAGCTGAGCCCCATGGATGTCCCTGAGGGGCACCTGAGGGACCAGGGATGGACTCGTGTGCAAGCAGGGGCTTCCAAGGTGAGGGGATCAGAATCTGCAGATAGGCAAAGACAGAATATTGGTGGGGAAGACGGATTCTGACTCCAGTAAAAACACCAGGAAGGACAAGCTGTGTGAGAACCAAGAAAGATTCAAACACAGGATAGGACTCAGTCTGGAGCATCCCACATGGAAGTGCTGCCATCGCTATGAACCTGCCTCTGGGGTCTCCTGAGCACACACCTCTACCCTCTCTGCTTTAACAGAGATGGTTTTAAACCCTTTCTATTTAGCCAAGGCAGGAGAGAGCCAAAGCCTTGTAAGAGCTGAAAACATCACCAGGCACCCAAAGGTGTGGTGTGAGTACCTACAGGGGAGCGACGCTCACCAGCCCACAGCAGGTAACAGAGAGCACTGAGTCAGGGTCCCCTTGCCCAGCAAACCAGTGCAGCCCTCATGGCAACTGCACGAGCTCCTGATGGAGCCCAAGTGCTCAGTTTGCTACTGTTTGGGCCCAAAGTGGAGAAAACATGATCACTAAGAGATAATGACAAGTGTCAGGAGCCACTCAGCCTCCTGGCTCGGCTGGAGGAGACATCTGGCACGCAAGGGCCCAAGTGGTGCAGGGGGAGTAGCTGACTTTTTTATGTTTCTTTATAAGCACCACTCCATCTATTTTTCTTTTTTTGTGTTTTTTCTAGGTCCCATTTATTCACTCACAGTAGGGCTTGTCTGCAAGCCCCGTGTGTGTGTGTGTAGGTACAAACGTTACTTATCTCCCCTCCATGTTTCAGCCCTATTCATCAGGCATTTGTAAATGGCATTTTATGAGTGCTGAGTTTTTAACAAGGCAGGCACACTGCTCCAGAGCGAACAAAGGGGCCCCTATTGGAAACTTTAAAGATGTTTAAACAAAGACTTCTCTTGAAAACCTTTAACCCCTAATGCCAACCTCAAGGGAAACGCTGTGTTATGAGCAATGGGAGCACAAACATTTTCTGTGACCACAGACTGCTACAACGGGCTGCCTTGTTGGCCACAGCTCCTGTTTGCTACAGCCACCAACCAGGGCAGCCCCTGAGCCCATCTTGTACTGAGCACATATGGTTTCTTTAATTCTTCAACAACAAATGAAAGTTACAACTTCCACAAAAATCAACAACAGCTTTTTCCCATTGGATGCAGCAATACCCAGCCTCTTCAATGAAAAGTGTTGTTTTACTGCAGGCACCAAGATCTGTCGTGGTTTCCAGAGAGAAGTTTGCATTTTGGATGAGACTGATTATCCATATCCTGGTGGCAAATATCAGGGCTGAGATCTAGAGATTTCCCCACACACATCTTTTTGCTGATATCAACAGCAATCTAATGAATTCCTGCAGAGATTGCAAGAATCTGCTTGTGAAACGCAGTTCCTACTTGTTCTTGAGAGCCTGCACACTCACTGCCTGGGATTAATTGCTCCTGGCCTTGAAAAAATAAAAATCTTTACTATCAAGAGATGCTACAGAGGGTCCCACAGGGAGGGGTCCCAAAGGGAGAACTTCATAATAACTTTATAAATAATCTGGGTTTAAGTGAAGCAAAAATCCAGTGTGATTAAGCAAAAGAGGCAAAGCCCCGTGCCTTTTCTCAGAGTTGGGGCTGAGAACAGGTCCCTTTCATGGACCCTTGCTCCCCTCAGCCCCACTGCACGCACGGTGGCTTCCACTGACACGGGACACTCCCGTTTCCCTGCCAGCCTCCTGAATGGATCCTGCAGCTCCCTCCTGAATGGATCCAGCAGCTCTCTGCTCCACAGCAAAGGCTGTCCCTGCAGAACGGGGGGCAAACCCCCAGCGGAGCCCACACCACCCCAGCGTGTACCTGCTCAGCTCACTCCAGTGGGTGAACACACAAACACGATGAGTGCACAATAATCTGATTTTCCAAACAAGTTTTCCCATGCAATTGCTTGGAACAGAAGTGCCCAAAGCTAATTTTATCCTGTGAAACAGTTGGAATGATAAGCTGAAGGTGGGTGATTGCCTGTGCAAACGAGTATGCACAGACGCAATTTTCCAGTCGTGCAGAAACAAACTTCGGGTACACTTCGGAGCTTATCTTCCTGCGGGATCTCGATTACCTGCTGCTCGGTACGCCTTGCCCAGGTGTACCAGACCTTATTATTTTCTGCTAAGAGATCCCCGGTTGTTTAAGCAGGGACCTGCCTGACAGGTAGGCGAGCAGGGCAGGCAGCCTGAGCCATCCCGAGAGGGGAAGAGCTCACATCGCTCTCACAGCACCCGGGTACCGTGCCCGCTGCCCCACGGAACATCCCCGGCACCGCCGCGGGGCCCAGCCCGTGCGGCCGGGGGTGGGGAAGGCTCCAGCCCCCAGAAGGGGGAAAAATCCTTCGGGGCGAGGGTTATGCTCTTCCCCTCCTCCCGGCTTCGCTTTCTGCTCCTGGCGCCCAGGATCGCCGCTCCCCTTCCTGCCAGCCCCGCTCCGAGGAAAAGCCCCCTCGGAGGCTGCCAACCTCCGCGGCAGCGCCGCGCACAGCCCCGCGGGCCGGGCCGGGCCGGGCCGGGACCGGGATAGGGATCGGGACCGGGATAGAGACCGAGATCCGGATAGGGACAGGGACCGGGATAGGGACCGGGACCGGGATAGGGACCGAGATCCGGATAGGGACAGGGATCGGGATAGGGACAGGGACCGGGATAGGGACAGGGACCGGGATAGGGACCGGGATAGAGACCGAGATCCGGATAGGGACAGGGACCGGGACAGGGACCGGGATAGGGACAGGGACCGGGATAGGGACCGGGATCGGCACCGGGATAAGGACCGGGACCGGGATAGGGATGGGGACAGGGATCGGGATAGGGACCGGGACCAGGATAGGCATAGCGACCGGGATAGGGATCGGAACAGGGATCGGGACAAGGATCGGGACCGGACTCACCGCACCCTCCTGACGCCCTCGTGTCCTGTCCTCCCCGCAGGAGCGGCGGTGCCCGCGGAGCCCCTGCCTCAGCCGTGCCGGCCGCGGAGCCGCTCCCCGCCGCGCTGCTGGCTCAGGTACGCGCTGCGGGGCGGCCGGGGCAGCGCCGGGAGCGGGGGGTGCAGCCGCCGGGGCCGGGGGGCACTCGGGGGCTCCCACCTGCCCCGGCCCCGCGGGAGCTGCGCGCAGGTGGCACCGGCACCGAAGGGTGCGCGGCCCGGGACGGCCCTGGGCTGGCCGGCCTGGAGGGCCTGCTGCTTTTAGCGGTTTATTTTCATTTTTCTTTATTTTTCTCTATTTTTTCTTTTTTATCCCTTTATTTCTCTTTCTTAATTTTTAATTTTTTTATCTTATTTTTATTTTTTATCCTTTTTAATTTTTTCTTTATTTTATCTATTTCTTCTCCTTTTGCCTTTTTTTCTTTGTTTTATATTTTTATTATTCTCTTTCTCTTAATTTTTTTTTACTCTTTTGTTGTCTCTTCCCCTGCTGGGGGAATGCACCTGGGAGCCCCATAAACTCAAAAGTTCATGGAAAAAGGAGAGTCTAAGCTTAATAGCCATTTGACCTACAGTGTCCTGGAAGTTTAGGAACACCAGCAGGTAGTGGCTGCAGTGTGGGGAGGTGAGTTTGAGCCAGGAAACTGCAGAGCAGAGCTTGGAGGGGTGTAGACCCTCAGGTTAAGCTTCCATCAAGAAGGTCAAGTGATGTGCATTGGAGATCATCAGCAGGGGCTTCTTGCAAACCCTGGAATAGATCTTCCCACTCCCCCACCTCTCAGATCAATCTGAGTGTCCTGGTGTCAGGAACCAGCTTTAGTGCTTTATAGGACTGTGTTGTGGTGCTTTAACAGCATTTCCCTTCTTTGCACACGAGGAGCAGAGAAAGGAGACTCCAGTAAATCACCCCCACTGTCTGAATTTTCTAGCAGATGTGCCAACACTGTATTATCAAACTTGGGCATTTTGGGGGTGCTGGTGCTGCTGGGGTGCCCACCCTGGCTGGCCCCTGCTCCCTGCAGAGCTCAGTGCCACGGGCTGTTCGTGCTTCCTGCTCTCGGCCACTGTTTGCCCTTGGTGTGGTCGATAAATCCCCCAGGCCCAGAAAAGGCTGAATTTCACTTGTGTGTGCAGTGAGGAAAATACAGGATTTATAAATACCCATGCATATACAAGGGCTGTGGGTTGGGTTGGTCTGGATTAAAGGAGGTATTGAAAAATGAGGGAAGCCAGAAACTGCAGGCTTCTCATTTCTGTGATTTCTAATGGCTTTTCCTTTTGCATAAACATTGCCTTGACTCCATACCCAAGAGCACTGCAGGCGTTTTCTCCCCTGATCTGCACAAAATATAACCTAGGCCTCTAAAATGGATATTTTTTATTAGGATGTTTGGTTTCCCCAAACTGAGGGAAGAACAGTTGCCCTCTGTGGCAGCAAGTCCCCAGCAAGCCTCAGGGCAGCTGTGTCCTGAGCGAGGCAAACCACAGCTCCTTTTTTGGGGGGAAAAGCAGAAAATGAGGTCTCTGCACTTCAATTCAGTGCTACCTGCACTTGGGCACACTGTTACTGTGAGTTACAGTTCTTGTATAAAGAGGTGATTTGAAGACCCAGTTTTTAAACAATAGCTGCTGGGATTGTATTTTGGTCTCCAGAGTTGGGTACTTTCATTCCCAGGGGACCAAATAGATCAGATCCCTTCCTCAGCAGGCTGAGCTGGTGGAGCTCATTGAACTGCAAAGGAGCAGGGCAGAGGGCAGCTTGCTTCTCCCAGTGCCTGTAAAGTGCTTTTTCTCCTGCTGTGGTTGCCCAAGGGTGTGCACACAGGGTGATGTGTGGAGCAGGGCATGTCCCACACGGGGAGCAGCATTCCCCAGCTGGAGGCAGGACAAAGCACTGAGTGATGCCCCTAAACACTTGCTGCTGGGAGGGAGAGGGATAATTTTCAGCTGTGGTGTTAAACAGCAGTTCTCCTAAAATCAGCCATGGGGCTGTGGGGTCCAGCCCCACCAAAGCCTCCCGGCGCCTGCCTGGGCTCCCTGTGTGCCCACATGAAACAGCCCTGGGCAAGGTGGTCCAGCTGTGTGTCTCCTGTGGAAAGCACACAGAGCACTCCTCCTTTTCTGCTTCATTTCCCGTGGGAGAGGGCACAGCAACCCAGCCAGGGCTTGCAAATCCCCCTGGGGTACCCTGGGTCTCTGCCACCTCGAGCAGCAGGGCAGAGCCACCCTGGAGATGCACCACAAATGCATTTACACCCTCTCCCGAGGCACATCCTGACCTAAAGCAAAGGAAAAGCCTTGGTGAGTGGTGCCAGGGAGCAGGGAAGGGGAAAGGCTTACAGAAATCAGTGTAGGAGAAAGGTGGTGGATCCCCCCTTGCTCCCCCCCTTTTTCTACATAATGCCCAACTGTGTGGAGAGCAGCTGAGCCCCAGCCAAGACCTCAGGCTCTGAAAAGGCAGCTTTTAGTGAGAGCTGTGAGAGCCCAGCCCGTGTGGTGCTGCTAACATGACACTGAACTAACACTGCACTACAACCTAAGCATTTTAATAATTTAATATAATAAATGTCAGAAGGAGTGAATAATTCTCTGTAACCCTGAGGAGGCTGTAGGTGCCAGAAGGAGCCAAGTGGGCATACTGAGCTGCTTCAGCAATAGCCCTTTGACTCTCTGAAGAGAAATTTCTACCAGATGATGGATGCTGGGTGGTCGCCTCTGCGGGCAGAATGGCAAGCCCTGTTCAGGAGGGCGTCACTGACACAGCTTAGCCCCAAAATTTGGAAGGCAAAGGCTGCAGAGAACGGACAAAGAAAAGAAAGCCAAGCTTCTAGGTAGTTGTTCCTCCAGCTGGACATGAAATCTGAAGAGCTCCCGTCTGTTTACTGCCTTTGGCATGCACATTGTCCCTTCAAGCAGTAAGTAGCACGTGGGTAATTGTTCCAGAAGGTTCTTTAAGAAGCTCCAGGCAGTGACCCACGTGCCTCTGGAGTTATGTAGGGATGGCAGGGAGCAGTGATACCTGCACAAGCCTGGCCCTGCCCTGAGCCAGTGCTGTGGGAGGCTCTGCAGGGCAGGCATTGCTGCTGCCCACGCTGTCAGCACACGTCTCAATCCACAGCTTTTGGCAGTTTGCTCCTGAACACTCCCTGCCACTGCCTGGCCTCCGTGCCAGGCTGTTCCATGCTTTGCCGAGGGGTTAATGGCAGAGGAGACCCCAAGCTGCATGGATGGGCGCTGTGACTGTGTTGGTGACGCTAACGGGGATGGAGCATGTGACTGCAGCTGGGACACAAGGACCCAGAGCTGTACTCCTAATTTTACACAGCACACTGAACGATGAGACTCACCAGGAAAAAATTCACACACCCAGCCTGGTTCTTCCCTGCTGTGTGCCTGTTGTCTCTGACAAACTGAGGGTGAAATGCTACTAAATGGAGCCAGCAAGGTTCAGTACTCATTTAACACTGTGTTAGTTAATTTAACACTGCATTAGTGTAAAAGGGCATCCAGGGTCAGGCCAATTTCTTTGATACATTTCCACATTTATCCCAATCATAACCCATTGTTCTGCAAAAAAAAAAAAAAAAAAAAAAAAAAAAAAAAAAACTGAAACAACCAAAAAAAAAAAAAAAAAGAAAGAAAGAAAAAGAAAGAAAAAAACCACCCGAAATCAACCCAGAGTTTTGCTGAGAGATTCAGAAATAGTGCTTTTATATGAAGGGGAAAATAGCAAAGGCGGATCAAAGCTGAAATCACACCATTGCTTGGCAGCAGAGGAGTGAAACAGCTGCAGATTGCCACTATGGAAAAAGATTAAATAACTTTCTTATGGGATCTCTTTGGCTGTGCAAAGATATAAACTATTCATTGGCTAGAAAGTGGAGTGCAACTTCAGCAAGGCTGAGTGACCCACCCTGGAGCAGCCACTGGTGGGACACTGGGTGTAAAGCTCTGCTCCAGTGTGCTGCAGTGCTGGAGCAGGACTCTCCCAGCCCCTCGATGGAGGGAGCAGGTACAGCCCTGGCAAAGGAGCTGCTCCTGCTTTGCCGTGAGTGCTGTGGGCTGAGCCCAGAGCCCTGTGCTGGCAGCAGCTCCGGGGCTGCCACAGGAGCAGAGCCTGGTGGCAGCCTGTGCTCTGCAGTCAGGAATGGCCATAAAACATTCATTTTCCAGGCACAGAGAAGCAGTTAATGCTGTGGGTGACACTGACACTGGCCCTGGCTGTAAATCTGATTCTGGCAGGGCTCTGGTGATTTATGTTTACTAGTGATCCAGCTAACACATCTAGGATAAGGAACTGGGAACAAGGAGGGCAGGAGATTATATTGGCCCTCTGGTAACCTAACAGAGCACATCTGTGCAGTGCACAGTGTCAGGTCCCCATGGCACTGCTCAGAGAACACACTGGCTATGTATTTGTTTATATGGCACATGTGTTTTTCTTCCTCATACAACAGCAGAGTATCAGCTCCATCCAAAGGTGGGAAAACTGGAACTGAAATATGTTTAAAGTGAATTGCAACATGGTGCTAAAAGCTGTAAAGGGCACAGCCTTTTTAAAGTATTGCAGTGTGAATAGCAGAGCTGGCAAACTCTTGTAGCAGGTTGCTTGGGGTGACTGCTTGCAGCTTCTCTCCCCGGGAGCTTGCTCTGGCCTCTGAGTCCAGTGTGATGGCAGGACCAGATTTACCTCTCTTCACACATCTCATCATTTATGCTCTCAACTTTTTCCATTTCTAGCCCATGTAAGAGGAAGAAAGACTGTGTTTAAAGGGAATGCCCGCCCTGCACATCTCTTTCAAGTTCCCCCTTGGGTGGCCATGGCTGATGCCCCTACTGTCACCCCTTTTCCTCCAAGTTGTCCCTCAGCCCCCAGATGCTCTCCCACAGTTACTGTGCCCTGTTTGCCACTGTGGTTGGGGCTCCACAGCCTTCTCTGGCTGCTGCTTTGCCTCTGTCTCTGACAGGAGAGTCATTAACCAGGCTGGGTCCCCTCAGCAGCAGCAATGCTCCCAGTGAGCACATTGACAGACGTGCCAAGGAGGGGCTCCCACACAGGCATCTCCTCTTCCTTCTCCTCTGCTTTCATCTCATCCAGTCAAATATCCCAGGGAATATCTCAGGGAATGCTCCTGTCCCAGACTCAGAGTTAGGGCCTTTCAGCAGGGCAGGAGCTGGTGGTGTTCAGGGAGTGGTGCACCACAGAGGGCCTGCACAGCTGACATCCCAGAGCTCTCCCCTTGCACTCCCCAGTCCTTGCACACGTGTCCCAGGCGGCAGAGCAGGGCATCTCCGACCCACCTCCTCTCTCTCCAGCTGCTTAACACCCAACCTACCGAGTTAGCAGAGTTCAGTGCCAGGTGCCTGGGAACTCCTTCTAGTTAATAGAGCAGAAACAATCTGCAGAATCACCTACTCCCTATTTTCAGAGAAAAATGCAGCTATTTTCACCCAGCATCCCTCACAGAGGTGAGTGAGCTGCTCCACCTCGCATGGCAGCTCCCCAGCTGCACTCACAGCTCAGCAGCATCGCTTCCCAGCTCACCCAAACCCATACAGCAACAACAAAAAAATATTAATAATCAGTTAGAGCACAGCCACCATTGCATGGGGCTGGAAGTCTTAGAAATGCCCTGTGTGTGTTTGGTGGCAAACTGATGAAGCAGTTACTCCATTATCCAAACTTTCTGTTTTTCAGTGCCAGCCCCATTCTCAGAGCAGCTGAGCTGCAGCTCCTTCTGATGGGAAAGCCTTTCCACCTTCCCCAGCAGGCTGGGCATGGAGGGAGCTCCTTGCCCCTGCAGGGCTGGGCAGGAGCTGGCTCTGGTGCCGCAGTGCCAGGGAAATTGTGTCTCGTAGACCCAGCCCGTACCAAGCCAGTGTGCTCCAGGACAGCGTGAGGAGGTACCTGCAGCTGCCAGCAGACCAGACCGTGCTGATCCTGCACGCCAAAGTGGCACAGAAGTCCTACGGCAACGAGAAAAGGTGGGAGACTGTCAGCACAATGGGCCAGGACCAGGCAATAAGTTACATACTCTCCATCTATCACACAAGACTGATTATTTCTTATTAAGAAACCCGTGCTTTTATACCCTAGTTCACTACACGTTGACCTAATTGGTTCTGAATCCAAACACCATCACCACTGGCTAATTAAGAAACCACCCCTTGGTAAACCAATCTCCATAACACATTCTACATGTTCACAACACCAGGCACAGCGAGTTAAGATAAGAACTGTTTCTCATTCTTTTCTCTGATCTCACACCCTTTCCCAGCACAATGCCTGGTAAAGTTGTGTGTTTCTCTGTGGCTAGAGACCTGCTGCCACAAGGAGATAGCCCCAGCTTCCCTGTTAGCCACTTCTAAACCCAGCTACCTAAAGCTTGATTTCAGCCTTGCTGGATTTCACAGATCTAAACTGGTGAAGCAAATTATCCCCTCTGCATTCACTCTCAACATCTTTGCATCCAAAGCCATCGTTTGGTCCCTTGAATTGAGTAACACAGGAAAGGATTAGCTCCACCCTGCATCCATCCCAGTTAGACATCCCCAGTGGGCAGGTTCTTTCCATGCAGCAGTAAAGAAAGACAAAGTAAAGAAGTCAAGATTCTGTTCAAATCTTAATACCCAAGAAGGAAAGGCTAGAGTTTTAACTGCCCTCTAACTCTCATCTTAAAATCTGCACAGCCATAGCAGGGACTGGGCCGTTTCCATCAATGCCAGTGGTCTCCAAAAAGCTGCTATTTTTGAAAATCCTTCCCACACTGAACACCTTGAGGTTCTGGCTTGAATGTCCAAAATTGCCACTCCCTGGCAGTGACGTCAGGCTGCGGCACTGCAATGTAATTAATCCCCCATTAATCCTTGGGATATAAATACTGCTCCCTCATTACCCAGCATGGAACAGCTGTGAGGTGACGAGCTCAGCCTCCAAGGTGGCACCACCCAGACCCCAGCGACCCCAGGGGACAGCTCTGGGATGGGCTGGCTGTGCCTACAAAGTTCTCACCACATCCAGTTTCCTGCCTGGGGCTGCTGGTCCAGGTAAAAATTTATTTCAGGACTGAGTCTCCCAGCCAGGAGAGAGCCCTCTCATCACAGCCTCTTCCCTCTGCTCCTGACCCTGTGCAAGGGATGAGTGTGAAAATCAGATGCCAGGTCTGAAAAGGGAGAGAAAAACCTGCACAGAACTCCCAGGTTAAAGTTTGAAGGTGCTGCTGCCATTTTCCTTAATAATGGGAGTCAGGGGCCTGTGCTGTGGATGAGTTGTTTAAATAAACTTGGACCTCCAGGGCTCCAAAATCTCCAACCCCCTGCACTGGTGTTTTCTCTGCTAGTGCTTTACCCAGTATCAATAGAGGATGAATTTACACCATTCACACGAGTGCAAAGACAGTGGAAACCCAAATAAAACACAGGAAAATGGGCTTCCAAACTCCTGGCTGTAGATTTATTTGCACTGGGCTGCAGAACTGATTGTGAATGCAAACTCTGTTCCCAGCCTGCTGAAACTCCCACATGGCAGTGAGGCAGGGCCAGGCTCTGGTGGCTCCCTGTTTTGGGGGAGCTGGGGGTGCCAGGCTCCCTGTCCTCCCATCCCAGGGCCATCCTGTCACTGGTGGGATCGTGGCCACAGTGGCACCACCAGATGTGGCAGCTGCTGAGGCTGGAACCAGGCCCTGAGGAGGTGCAGGGCAGAGGGTCCCCAGCCCCTGGCTGAGCTCCACGTTCCTCCTGGGCTGCAGGGGTGCCCCCAGTGCTGGTGATCCCCAGAGAAGGTCTCTGCTCTCAGCACAGCCATGCAGCCACTCCTGAGCACCTTTTCAGGGTGCTGAAGGGCAGTGAGAAAATGCCCTCTTGTCTCTGCAGGTTTTTCTGCCCCCCACCCTGTGTTTACCTGAGCGGGCCGGGATGGAAATTAAAGCAGGAGCAGATAAAAGGTGAGCAGAGCCCTGGACCTCTCCTCCCTCCCTTCCTGCACCATGGAGAGCTGCCCTCTGCCTCTGCAAAGGGGACAGTGAGTCTGTTGATGTTGGTTTTGGCCCCCCAAACTCCTTTCCTGATCAAGCCTGAGCCCCCTGAAATCCAGAGCCTGGGAGGGCTGGGGCTTGGTCATGCTCTGCTCCTGGAGAGGCTGAGGCTGTGCAGGGGCTGGAAGGTGCCTGTCCTTGTCTCTCCCAGCCAGGGACCTGGGAGAGGCTGGATTTCGGGTGTGTGGGTACATGGGGCTGGACAGCATGGGCAGCAGCCTGATGGAGACCCAGAAGCTGAGCTTTGAGGAGCAGCCAGATGCGAAGGTAAAGCTCCCTGGGGCTGTGGGGATTCCCTCCTGCAGGGGCTGGGCTGTCACCAGCAGCACCCCACACCCTGGGATGTCACACCCTCCCCATCCTCAGGATGTCACAGCTCTTTCTTCCTAGCCATAACTCCCCACTCCCACTCTGCCAGCCTGTTGTGGCATGTGCAGCAATCCAGGCAGCCCAAAGATCCCCGTCTTTCTCTGGAACCAACTTTTCAGGTCGACAGCCCTGTGGCTGCCAAAATCTGCACAGCTTCCTCTTCCCTGGTTCCTTCTCCTGGGCAGCACTGCTGCTTGTCACAAAGTAAAAGCCTGCTCCTTCATTTGTGGACAAACAGCTTAAAAAAAATGCCCCAGTTGATCCCAAAGTTCAAATCCTTCAGCAGAGCTCTGGCATCTTTTGATTGGAGGGGAAAAAAAGGAGAAAAAGCATTATCTGGGGTCCCTGAAGAGCAGGGGCTCTGAGCAGGCCAGGAGCCTCACAGAAAGAGCCTTTGTCCACAGTGCTTGCCTTGCTGCTAAAGCACAGCATATCGGCCAGGATGAGGGAAACCATAAACCCAGGGTGATTTCTCATGTTATGTGGGATAAATCACACATGAACATTAATTTCCATGAGGAATACTCTGCCCCCAGTGTAAATAAAGCCTCTGCTGATCCCCAGCTCTTCATTCCACCTGTAATAACATCTCTGCTGGTTTCTCCCTTTAAATGAACCCGGGGCTCGTTGAAAGGGCACCATTATGTCCTTGTGGGGTGGTGAGGAGGGTGAGGAGGGCTGGCGGGGCTGGGCTGGAGCTGCTGGCAGCCCCTCTGTGCCCTGGCAGGGGTTCAGCTGTGCCAAGGCTCTGTACATCTCGGACACGGACAAGCGCAAGCACTTCCGCCTGGTCCTGAAGCTCTTCTTCAGCAACGGGCAGGAGATCGGCACCTTCCACAGCAAACTCATCAAGGTCATCTCCAAGCCCTCGCAGAAGAAGCAGTCCCTGAAGAACACGGACCGTGAGTGGCTCTCTGGGGAGGGAGGTGGGTGCCAGCCCAGCAGGGGATGCTCTCTGCTCAGAGCTTGGCTCTGGAGTGGTCCAGGCTGGACCCAAAGCCCGTGGGAACTCCCAACAGAGGATGTTTCTGACACAGTGATGTCTCATTCCCAAATGGTTCACCCAGCACGGGGGGTGATGCCCTGATGCCAATGTGGTCCCCACACTATGGTCCTCTGCTCCCTCACACAGAGGGGAGGGCAGTGGGAGGGTGTTGGCTGCTGGGTACCCCAGGAGCCAGGGCTTGTCCTCACTGGGCTTGGCAGAGCCATCGTTCATTCCTGCAAGCACTAACCCAGCCACCTCTCCCCAGTCTGCATCTCCTCAGGCTCCAAAGTGTCCCTCTTCAACCGGCTGCGCTCCCAGACCGTCAGCACCCGCTACCTGGCTGTGGAGGGAGGAGCCTTCATCGCCAGCGCCAGGCAGTGGGCAGCCTTCACCCTCCACCTGGGTGAGGACCCTCGGGGGACAATGATGCCACTATTCCCCGGGCCTCCAGCCCTGCAAAGCCAGCTCTTGGGGGCAAAAGGCATGGGAATTAGCCTGGGGTGCAGGGATTTGGCTCAGTCTCACCTCTGCCTGGCATTCCTGGTGTGTCTCTGGATGTTTCCCACTGGCTTTGAGGGCACAGGGCTCTACTGGTCTGGAGGTTTACAAATCCAAGCAAGGGATTGCCTGGAAGAGGCCAGAGCCCAACAGTATTCCTGCCCTGCAAGGTACTGCATCCCCATCCTGCAGTCCTGGGCTGGGCTCCCAGGTAATGATACTCTCTCCAAGCAGTGGGACAGCAGCGGGAGAGGGCCAGGGCTGTGCTGGCGAGGTCAACCCGCTGCCCGGGCGGTGACCCTGCCTCTCTCCCCGGGCAGCCGAGGAGCGCTGCGCCCGCAGCGAGTTCCCGCTGCGGGAAGGGTACATCCGCTACGGCTCCGTGGTCCAGCTGGTCTGCACGGCCACCGGCGTCACCCTGCCACCCCTGGTAAGCTCCGACCTGCGGCTGGCAGCGCACGGACCCGGCCGCACCACGGCGCCGAGCGGCGGGGCCGTGCCGGGATCCGTGCTGGGATCCGTGCTGGGATCCGTGCTGGGATCCGTGCTGGGATCCGTGCTGGGATCCGTGCCGGGATCCGTGCCGGGATCCGTGCTGGGATCCGTGCTGGGATCTGTGCTGGGATCCGTGCTGGGATCCGTGCTGGGATCCGTGCTGGGATCCGTGCCAGTGATCCGTGCTGGGATCCATGCCGGGATCCGTGCTGGGATCTGTGCCGGGATCCGTGCCGGGATCCGTGCCGGGATCCATGCTGGGATCCATGTGGCTGGGCCATGCCGGAGATCCGTCCTAGGAATCCATGCTGAGTATTCATGCTGGGGATCCATGCCAGGATCTGTGCTGGGGATGCATGCCGGGATCCCTGCCAGGGATCCCTGCTGGGGATCCGTGCTGAGTATCCATGCCAGGGATCCATGCCAACAATCTGTGCTGGGGATCTGTGCTGGGGATCCATGCTGGGATCCATGCCGGGGATCCATGCCAGGGATCTGTGCTGGGATCCATGCTGGGGACCCATGCTGGGATCCATGCTGGGATCTGTGCTGGGATCCATGCCGGGGATCTGTGCTGGGGATCCGTGGCAGGATCCATGCTGGGATCCGTGGCAGGATCCATGCTGGGGACACTGCCGCCCGCAGATCATCCGGAAGGTGATGAAGCAGTATGCCATGCTGGACGTGGATGAGCCCATCTCCCAGCTCCACAAGTGCGCCTTCCAGCTGCAAGGCAGTGACCGCATGTACCTGTGTCTCTCCACAGACAAGGTGATCCAGTTCCAGGTATGGCAGTGCAGGGGCAGCTGAGGAGCCCAGGGTGCTTGCTGCCAGCTCTGCAAGCTCCTGTGTTGTGTCAGGCTGGGGAGAGTATCACTGGGAGGGGTCTTGCATCCAAACTAAGACAATAATTATGGCAAAGCTTTAGTGGGGACACTGGAACTGAGGTCTTTGGAAAGGAATCACAACCCCCCTTTCCCCATGAGCAAAGCAGTCACTTGCTGGAACCAAGACACTGAGGGCAGAAGCCAGCCATCCCACCCCACTCCCCACCACCTCCCCTGCAGCGTGTTTGGAGCTCTGACACTCTCCACAGGCATCTCCCTGCCCCAAGGAGGCCAACAGGGAGCTGCTGAACGACGGCTCGTGCTGGACCATCATCAGCACGGAGACGGTGGAGTACACCTTCAGCGAGAGCCTGGCGTGCGTCCGCGAGCCCGTCAGCCCCGTGCCGCTCATCGCTGCCCTGCAGGTAGCCACAGCCTGGGGCTGTCCCCTCTGTCACCTGCCTGCCTCGTGCCTCCTGCCCCTGAGAGCTTGCACCCCCCCGGCACCTCCCATTCTCAAGTGGGAATGAGATGCACAGGCGAGCATCCTGTGGGAGGAGTGTGGCTCCATAACCCACACAGCCTGCCACGCTCTCTGCCCCTCGCAGCTCACAGGTGGTGGGGACGTGGCCATGCTGGAGGTGCAGGGGGAGTACTTCCATGCACACCTCAAGGTCTGGTTCGGAGATGTGGAAGCAGAGACAATGTACAGGTAACATGGATAGGGGAGCTGGCAGAAGGCAGGGAACAGCAGGCAGGTGTGGGCTGTGCTGGGCAGCTGTGGGATGTGGCTGCAGAGCTGGGGGACACCTGCACTGCCCATCCTGCAGGAGCAAGCACAGCACTGCAAGCAAAGGCAGGAATGAGTCTGGTGCCTGCTCTCTGCCCTGGCTGCAGTCTGGGCATAGCCATGGGTGGGGGACAGCAGGGATTTCAGGGAACTGCAAACAACCAAGCAGCCCTGGCAGAGGGAAATGAAAGACTGGGAGGAGAGAGGGAAGTGCCTGGAGGCCTCACACTGAGCTCCAGGATGGAGGAGAAGTGCAGTCACTCACTGCTGGCTGCTCCTGCATAGGACCTTCCCCAGTTAATGCACGTTTTCCCCTCCTGCACTGTTGCCAGGAGCCCCAAGTCCCTCGTGTGTGTCGTCCCTGACGTCTCTGCCTTCGGCAGCGACTGGCGGTGGCTGCGCTATCCCATCACGGTCCCGCTCCTGCTGATCAGGGACGATGGCCTCATCTACTCCAGCTCCTTCACGTTCACCTACACCCCAGAGCAGAGCTGCATCCCAGGGCAGCAGGTCCTCTCAGATGTTCCCCAGGACTCAGACAAGTTACTCGACAGCATCCACCAGGAGTTTACCAGGACCAACTTCCACCTCTTCATGCAGACCTAGCAGGCTGGGCAGGCACAGGCTTGGCCTCACTGCTGGCCTAGGGAAGGGGAACAGCCCTGTGCCATGCTGGGGGGCTCATCCAGGGCTTGGGGTGGCCCTGCCAAAGGGTTCTCCCCACACGTTGAACACCCACCATGCTCCTGTGGTTTACTGATTTATCTGTCTCTCACAGCAGCATCTCACACTGCTGAGATCTCACATGAGAGCATCAATAAATCAGGCTTGAAGGACTCTTCACTGATTCAATTGCCTTTTTACTCACTTGCATGATTTACCTGCGTGCTGGCATAGAGCACCACAGCTCCCTCAGTGTCCTCAGGCCATAGATTCAAAGTCCAGGAGGGACAGGGATAATGCCCAAATGCGACCTTAAGTGTTACTGATCCATACCAGGAATCCCTGCATCGCTGCTGTGCTTTTCAGCTCAGCAGGAGCTGCTTCCCAGCAGCCAAATACCCAGCACCAGATGTTTTGGTTTTTTATTGGAGGCCCAAATGGGGTTATTTAAGAAGGAAAAGGGAAAAAGAGAGAAAAAACTTCAGTGTGAAACCCAGCTCCTCCCTAGCTGGCCTGGCTCTGCCAAGCTCTGTTGTTTTACACAATTAGACACACTGCTGGCATCAGCAGCAAACTGCTGATTTAGATGCCATAAAAAGCAGCCAGCTTTCCTGGAGCTGGACACGAGCATTTTGCAGAGTGGGCGTTAAAGGCTTTATTTAGATCTTCGTGGCATCCAAAGGCCCAGGGTGTACCTGGAAACCTTCTGGTTTGGCAGTCCTGAACTGGGGTTTGAAGCAACCCAGCAGCCAGACTGCAGTGGCAATGCACCCACCCTGACCTCGGGGCAGTGGGCAGGGGAAGCACAGCCCCCCACGGCCTGCAGCACCCCAGGATGCACACATGGGCAGCACCAGGGTTGCCTCCGTGTTTTCTGTGATCTGGAATGTTTCAAATGCAGCACTGCCCTGCGTGCAGTCCATCCTCAGCCTTGTTGTGTGCACCCCATGCCTCACTGTGGCTCCAGGTGCTGAATTTGGGGCTGCAGAGGACTTACAGCCTCACACCACGCGGCAGGGAGATGCTCAGGCGTGCCTGGAGTCTTGGCCCTTCCCTCTGCAGCTTGTCCCTGTCCCTGGGAACACAAGAGCTTGGGTCCCCAGCCTAACCAGGGAACAGCACCTCCCTAAACTCCACCAGGAGATGGGGTTCCTTCTTCCCCAAAACAGGAACCTCACTGGGGGTACAAAGCTGTAGGCAGACACATCTCTGCATCTGGAGCTGCTGTGGAAAAACTGGGAGAATGTTACAGCACGTGCCAACAGCCAAGGCTGCTGGAGGAAAAGGTTGAAGGACAGAAGAAGGGTGATCACATGGAGATCCACAAGGGACCCAAAAGCAAGTTCCTCCAGGTGGCAAAGTCCTAATGAGCTCATTAGGTGTTGGGAGCAGTGGTACAAGGCTCTACTGCTCCCATTTCCGGAAAATCCTGGAATAGCTTAGGTTTGGGGGCAGTGGGGGCTCCCCCTGTGCTGCTGCTGCTGGGCCACCCTCTCAGCCCACACTTACCATGCCCTGCACTCACCTCCCCAGCAAATCCACCCCAGCCCTAACGCACCTGAGGGTGAGATGCAAGAAAATACTTTAATCAACCCAAACAGAGGATGCCCCACATTTCCCCCAAAAGCATTTCCTCCCCCATCTGCTCAGTGAGGAGCTGCAGGGCTGTGAGAGGATGGGCTGAAGCCTTTTGGTTGCTGCCTGCATCAGCAGTGCCCAGAGCCCTCAGCTCCTCAACCCGCTCTCCTCCCTCAGAGGCCAGGGCATAATTCACATTTTATGAATGGAAAGCACCCTGCGTTATATTTAGCACCAAAGGGCAAGAGGAGCACTTCTTGACTTCAGGGGCTTGGAACAAGCCTGCCTTGTTATGTTTGCAGCACTTTGCTGGATGGAGAGGCCAAAGCACTGAGTGGCTCATTCTTGGAGCCTGATGGATTAAGCAAACAGCCGCAGTAATTCAAGCCACATGGGGAAAGGGGAGAGGTGGCAGCGGCGGGCTGGGGGGGCTCCCGGGGCTCCTGCCTTGCCCCACAGGCTGCCTTTAATCTGCTTTCCACCGCCGGTCCCACCCTGGGAGCGAGGAGCTGTGCGCTCCCGGAGGGGACACTTGCCTGCCACGGGAACATATGCTCCACGCCGGGAGCGTGGCAGAGCTGTTTATTTGCATAATCGCTGATTAACACAAATGTCTCGGACAGGCGCCAGCCAGCCAGTTGCGTGTTCTCGCTCGCCTGTCCCTGCCGGATCCCACAGTAACCCAGCGTGTGTCGGGGAGGAAACGCGTCTGACAGCTCTGTTCTGCGCTCCTCAGCTCCGCCTGCAGCTTCTGCCTGTCCCCCAGGCACCAGAAACACGGGTGGGAATAAAATCGGGCGTGAAAAAACCTGTACGTGGCTCCAAGAGCTGGGATTGAGGAAAATGCTTTAGGAATGCACGGGATAATCCATGTGGTATTGAAGCAAGGGTGCCCAAGAGAAAGGGGGGAGAATGATGCAGCTTACTCCATCTTATCAGAAGGCTAATTAATTACTTTATGATACTATATTACATACATTGCATCTAAACTGAATCTGCCAAGCTCTCACTCTGCACACAACTGTACAGACCTGCACTCATCTCTGGTACTCCCGTGACTGTCAGCTGACATTCTGACACACACACACACAGACACACACACACAGACACACACAGACACACACACACACTTGGCTCTAATAGGCCAAGGAAATAAAACTTCCCCACTTTGGGTACACAGTCTCCATATTGCATTCTGCTTTGGCACAACACAGGCACAGCAGGTGATAAGCATTGTGTTTTCCCTTTCTCTGAGGTTCAGAGAATGTGAATCTTAGAAATCCTTGGGAAGAATGGTGCCGTGCTTTTCTCTGTGAAGAGAAATGTGGCAACAGCGTGGCAGGAGCATCTCCAGGCGATGGTGAGGCTTGGAGGGATGGGGATCCCCTGCTCCCACTGTCCGGGGTGCAGCCGGGGCTGCAGCAGCCCCACCACATCAAGCAGCCACTTCAGGTCCCAGAGGAGAGCATTACCTTTAAAAACATCAAGAAGAAAGTGAAATCCTGGCTTTCCCGCTATGACACAACATCCCAGAGGAGCGCTCGGCCCGTGCTGGGTGTCTCCCTCCCCGCCTGGGCTGTTTTGGAAGAAGCTGCTGCCATCTAGTGAAGCCAGCCCAGCCCCAGCCCGGAGATGACACTGCCTGCCCGTGTGCCCGGCGCACACTGGGCACCTCTGGCCACCGCCGGGGCTCATCTTCTGTCCCAGTCAAAGGCTTTGGCTGCTTTCCAAACAGCCACTGCGCTGCATTGTGCCCCACATCACACAGCAGGTTTTCCCACGGCTTGGTTGAGTGTTTTTCAGAAGGGGGAGGGCAGCTGTGGGACACGTGGAGGGTGGGCAATGTCCCTTCCCTGCTCACCCAGCCACACCCAGCTGGTGACACACTCTTGGCACTGAGGTGGCAGCTGGGCTGGCTCCCTTGTAGGGCAATTTGTAACAACACCTGCAGGAAAACCAGAAAAACTCTGATTAAACCGGGGTTTTGCAACCTCTGAGTGAAGGGGTGGGCGAAGGGGGAGCTGGCCAGGGGCTGTGAAAGTGGGGCTGTTCTGTACCAGAGGCGTTGGCCTCGGCAAGGACAGCCCTGGGCAAGTCCCTCTGCTGTGCTGTGACTTGGTGCCCCCCCTGAGTGGAGTGTGGCAATTCTGCCAGCTCCCTGTGGAGCAGCACAGAGTGCAGGCCAGCATCCCCAGGGAATCTGCACCAGGATGAGCAGCAGACACCCGCTGAGAGCAGCCTGTCCCCCCTGCTCCGAGCCCTTTTCCTGGGGCTGTCCCTGCCCCACGCCCCAGGCACAGCCTCCAGCAGGGCCAGGGGCCCACAGCCCACACTGCTCAGTGTGGATACCTGCATCCCTGGCCCTCAGGGGATGTGGGGATGCTGCTCTGCCCATAGCCAGGGGAAAGGAGCAGGGAGAAACCTTTTCTTGAAAACTGCCCCCAAGGTGTTGGTGCCCAGGGCTGATGCAGTGCACAAAAGGGACTCAGCCAGCCAGACTGAGCCAAGGGGCCAGTTACTGCATCACAAGCCATAAAATCCCTCTCCTGCCAAGCCTGGTCCCAGCACTACCCACACACCCCAGTGGGGTCCCTGAGCATCCCACCAAGGGCACTCCTGGCCCCAGCACACAGGGCCATAGATTTGCACAGTGCCCAGAAACCCTGTGCTGATTTTATCCTTTTTCTGACAGAGCTATAAATTACCCAGCTGGGCCTCAGGATGCAAAACTACGCTGGGGCCAAAATAAGCCAAGCTGGCTTGCTGAGGAATTACAATTACCTGCTCAAGAGGCTCCAAGCGCGTCGGGAACTGCTCAGGCGTGGGGCCCTGCTGGCCAGGCTCTGAAATAAACCCAAACAGCATCAAGGACAGAGTGAGCCCGGGGCTCCCATGGGTGCCCATGTCACCAGCAGTGCCAGGGTGGGTGTGATTAGCCCGAGATGGGCAGTTCAGGGGCAGAGACTGCCACGCTCCTGTGCCCACAGCCCTGGGCACTCAGCCCTGCCCATGCAGCCAAAAAGCCTGTGGAAAATTAGGCTTCCTTTTTGTCAGTGGTTTTGGTTTTTTCCTTTCCTAAAAGCAAGCTGAAAACAAGCTAATTCCTGTCAAGTTCTGGACTCCCTGCAAGTCAGGGAAGGACCAAGCCCAGGGGCCAGCAGTGTCCCCCAGGGCTGCAGTGCTGGGCCAGAGCCCCAAGGCTGGAGCTGGGGTTTGATCCCTGATTAGGGGTGGGGATCAGTGCTGGGCAGGCTCCCTGTGCTCAGCCCCACGCTGCAGCACGGCTGGGGGCTTTGGGGATCCAGGGAGGGGGGCAGAGGGAGGGCACTGGCAATCTCCTTTCCTCCTGCTCTCAAAAGAAACAC